CTTGTGTCTGTTCTGCTCCCTCCTGCCTCCTGGTCCTCTGCTCTGTCCACTGGCTGTCCCTCTTCTTCCCCAGAGCCCCTGAGGGACCCCCATGTGGCCCAGCTGTTGAGGTGTTTCTCCACCGACCACAGTCTGGGCCGCCGGCCCCCCCTGGACCCGACGCTGGCCCACCACCTCCACCAGTGCTCCTACCACCTCCGCCTCTACCGAAACTGGCTCGTCTCCGGCCAGGACCCCCTAGAGTCCCTCCACGGTCAGCCCCTGGCCCCGCCCCCCTCCCTCCCGCCTGGCCCCGCCCCCAGCCCGCTGGCCCCGCCCACCTGGGGGCGCTGCTTGCTCTGTGGTTGCCTCACGCTTTGCCCCCCGGCGTCCCTGCATGCCTGCCTGTCTCTGTGGGGTTTGCAGGGTGAAAAGCTGTGGTGCTGTGGACTGTTTGGGGTTTCAGGCCCCGCCCCCTAACCCCGCCCCTTACCCCCCCCCTCCCTCCCCTACCTACTTAGACATCTCTTTGGTATAAAATAGGAACGATTTCTCTGAGTTAGAGCCCAAATAGAGGCAGCTTAAAGGCTCCTTTTTCTTCAGAATGAATTTAAGCTTCGTCTTCGTTTCCATTCTTCTTCTGGTGGTTCTTCTTAATCAGGAATAATGAACCTCTTTCCTATTTTCTATTTATTTTATTTAGAGAAACAGGATGTTTTAAAATGCTTTGATGACAATAAAAATTCAATTTTAGAGTTAAAAACATCATCTGGGCTGTAAAGCTTCTCCAAGTACAAGACTCGGCTCATTAATCAGACTTCCTTCTGCGAAAAGGAAAAGAACATCCACTAAAAAGCCGTTTAAAATAAAAATATTATTTTCTGAGTTAAAGCCCAAATAGAAGCAGCTAATGCTCCATTTCCATCAGAATCTGATACATGTGTTAACCTCTGAAGATAACACAATATTTAAGAGTAAATTTACCCCAAATCCAGAAACAAAATAATTATATAAAACATAAACATGAACAAACCAGGTTAGAGCAAGTTTGAAGGAGTCCTCATGTTTAAATCTCCCTCAGATTTTCTGTCACTTTCCCTAAATAAAAACACAGTTTGAGACTTTGTGCGTCCCAAATCCCCAAATGGGAACTTTATGTCTGTCCCATGTTGCTGGACTCAGGCTTTGTTTCAAACCTAAGAAAACGGGCATCGACTCGGGTGGTTTTGTTTCATTTTGAGGATCGGTTGAAGCCGTTGGGTGGAAAAAGAACGACCGTCTCACTTCGTCTGGCAGTTTGGGGGTTTACCGTTAACCATAACATCAGCAGAATAACAGTGTGGACTGACTGGATCCGGTCCGGCTTTAATTCCTGGTGGATTGGTGGAGGAAAACCGGCTCAGGTTCTGGTTTTCTGCCCAGAGGCGGTGATGTCTGAGAGGCGTCCACTAACCGGTCTGTCCGGCCCTGAATGACCCTTAACCAGCATGTGGTCCTGTGGGCGGCGGCCTGTGTGCATACGGTGGCGTGTGGAGTGCCGTTGGGCCCCTGTTATCGTAGCCGTTAGCTTAGCTGTTAGCCTAGCCGTTAGCTGTTAACTCATCCGTTAGTGTAGCT